TACAAATTACATGCTAATTAGATGGTGCAAAGCTTAGGGATTCAGTCGTTCGGAAATTTGCATATGAACTAATTATCTTTCATTAAAGCAGGCTAATTACAAATTTGAGCAGGGCCTCGAATGGAAAAGAAAGCTCTTCTTTGTTCACAGAGTTTTCATCTCCAATTACATTGCATTGTTTGTGCCTGTATGTGCATTTGGAGAAACTGATAAAATCTCAAAATTCACTTACACAAATTAAAACATGATTTATTTTAAATTGCTATTATGGGTTATAAACAAGCAAATCTCTTTTGGTGTAGTATGTGTGAATGCTAACAATAAAACATTTAAAACTATAACTCTCTGCTGATGGTCGACCTCACCATTTGTTTAAACAGGTACGCTAAATTAATTCTTTTAAGACCGAATGGAACTTGGCATTAAAAGTAATGCATATCTAAGCGCTGAGAAAGTCCAAATTAATAGATGTGCCAATCATTTGTCTCTGAGGGGTTTTGCTGTCCACATAATAGATATGACTCTTACATCAATCAGGTATTAATTGCTTTCATGTCTCATATAATGAAATGACTGCTAAGGGGCATAGGCATAGTTCTAAAATGGCTTTTGAAACCCATTTTTAAAGACTTTTGTTTAAGATCTCCGCTTCAGTTTATCTGATATCTCAATAGAGCCTTTCTGAAATGGTTACTTAATGGTCTGAAGCAGTAATGGACTACTTTGGTAACACAGTGATAAGATCTCATTCAAAGTACTTGAACATGAAGTGTATGGATAAATAAAAAAATCTGTTTTTCGAATACAAAATCAGCTAAAATGTTGCTTTTAAATTGCAGGGTCAGTGATTTTTGCATCACAAAGTTCACTTCTGCAGATACACAATATTACTGCAAGTAGTAAGTAAACAATTGTTAACTTTAATAATATTAATAATAATAAACAAGTATTATTCCGTTTGATGGGGGCTTATTCCGCTGTGGTGACCCCTGGTTAATGGAGTGATTAAGCTAAAAAGAAAATGAATGAAAGGTGGCCTTGAATTTGTATTAGGATATGATTATGATTGTTCAAAAATTCCCTGAAAGCTGTCAAATTTTCATAAGCAAGCACTACTTTTTTTGGAAAATGATATTTACCCATATTTTTTCTCCTCATAAAGCCACTCTTTGGAATAATAGAGCAGTTATTATTAACCGTATATCTTTGTTTGAAAAAGACTGATATAGTAAAGGCATTTTATTTATCAATGATTTGTTAGGTGAAATTGGTTTGCTAGTATCTTATTACGTACTATAGAATAATACTATATAATAATTTTTATATAAATAGAGTCAGGATCACAGATATTATAGGTTATACTAAAGCTGTTATACTTTGTTTAGGTCCCAATTGTACTTATGTAACTTCTTGTTGATATTTTCGATGGTAAATGTAACAACAAGCTTATTAACAAAGAATTTAAATGCATTATCATGGGTGATTATAAGTGTTACATTTAGGTGTTGCTGAACCCTTAGTAGAAGACAAAGCTTTTACCTTTTATCTTAAATATCCTGTAGCACCTATGGTTAAAGAAACTCATTACTGAATTGTGTTTAGGATATATCCTGTGAATGAGTTTATTCAAAAAAGATTTAACTTTGATGTTTACAAGTGTTGCTTTTGTTCAAATATTCCAGGACCACTTGATCACTTATTTTTTTATTGTGAATTTACTTCTAAACTGGTTTGACAGCTAGATTAAAAGCAGTTTTTAACATTTTTAAGAACCATTTTATGGTCAAAATTAATAACCCCTTTAAGCTATATTTTTATTCAATAGTCTACAGAACAAATCATCGTTATAAAACTTTTTTCCCCATTTTTCATCGTGGGGAAAAATGCAGACCCTCTTTTAGGTGTTTTCTTTCTGAGGTAGGGAAAGTGGCTCAAAGCTTCAAATACTTTCGAAACCAAAATAAAATAACTGATGTCCACTGTACTTCAATTTCAGAATATTTTATTATAATGTTTCTTTCCTTTGATGTAGATCTTCTGTATTGCTCCTTGTTGCAGTTGTAACAATTTTAATTAATTTTATTTATTTTAATGGTAAACATGCCTTGTGATGTTGATTGTTCCTTGTTTTGTGGTGTAAATTTTTTGCAAAAAAAGAGAAAATGAATGAATTCCATTTGAGAACTCCTGCAAGTCAGTGCTGCCATCTGCTGGTTAATATTAATGTGATAGCAACTAGAAAAACTTTCCTCAGTCATCCCAATCAGGCCTTGAAACAGGATAAGCCGGTTTATGTTTGCTGGATAGAGAGACATGTGATGTTTTTGAGTTCTGTTCCTCCTTAATGTGTGTACTAACAAACACATATTCTAAAACCATTCACATATTCACACGAATAGAATAAAAGACTAGAACATTGAGAGAAACTAAATGACAATACACTGGAAGCCCTTTATTTGATAAACATCTCTGGCAAGCATTTTCTTCCAAACAATTGTTCTGTACAATTTATACAGCGTTACAAATATCAGAGGTATTATTTACAGCATTTACCTTTGCATCGTTCATGGTTAAATATCTAAAAGTCATGCATAGGAGTAAGTTTGGCAATTTAGGACATTATTTTCATATCCAATATTGAGACTAATATTTAATTTTTTGGCATCGGACATGAGCTGTTTAAAGGAATACAATAATGGTGTAATACAAAGCTATGCTACACTACACCACTACAAAGGCTGATACTGTATCATACACTCAAACTATATACACTGCTGTTTGAGTCTTTAAATGAGTAAAACTTTGGTTTTATGGTAAAACACTAAAACTGCATATTATTAGTTACAACTGGCAGTGCACTGGAGAAAAACAACAACAATTCAGATAAAATTTGGTTAAATTCCTTTCAAACTGTCAAATCAATTCACCACAAACATAATCAAATGTTATTTTAAATAAACAATGAGCTTCTAAAGTCTGAGGCATCTTGTGAAACTGTTTTTATTTGGTGGTTTCAATATATAATACATTTAATATATACAGTCAAGCCCAAAATTATTCATAACCCAGGGGTGTAAATAATTTTGAGCTTGACTGTAATAGGTTTTAACTTTAATATAAAGTTTTTCATTTAAAATTATGAGCGTTACAAGCTCTGTGTGTAAGCCCTGTTGATAATCCTAAAATGCTCTTATGTTTAAACTGAAGAACAAATGATAATTCACAAATTTATGAATCAGCTTATTTGAAAGTCACATTTATATATTGCAGAATCCTAAATATTTTTTGTTTGTTTGTAAAAATCCTAAAAAAATAACAATTACAATGCTCAGCATAATTGAGTACAACCTATTTTGTAAATGAATATTTGTATCCATTTTTTTTAATGAATATAGGCAATGTATTTTGGTGCATTAACAAAACAGATCTGTTAAACAGATATTTTTATTAAAATAATAAATCAGTCACCAAACATATTTAGAAATTGAAAGAAAATGCAATTAAATTTAAGCAAAATATTGCAAAAAAAAAATAAATTACCACCTACAAATTTTTTTACAATTTTGCTTCTCTTTTTCCTCTTTAAAATTTGTATTTACGATTTTTTTCTATAACATTTGGGTGTACTAGTTATTGGACCAAAATTGTAAGTTATTTTGTTAGATAAGCTGCAGATTTGGCTTCAGTACTGACTAATCTAATGTACATGCACACAAATTAAATATTGTAGAGGTATTATTAAAAATATGAATTTAAAAGATGGATTTGTGAGGGGTGTACTTGTATATGCTGAGCACTGTATGCTTTAAAACACAAAATGTGCTCTCAGACATTTGGACCCCATTATATTTGGCTATTTAAAAAAAATAATACACAAGAGTGTGTTCACACTTGATGTTCACAAGAATTCCAGATGCCTGTATCGAATTGTAAAGGTTAACCTCTGTTTTTTTAATCCTTTTGATTTTAGTTTAACCAAAAGTTCAAGGTTCATTTAGGGTGCTTTTACACCTGTAAATTGATTCAGTTGTTCCGGCACAGGATTCAAATTGTTACATTGTTGCTCTTTGTTCTTGGTGCGGTTCGCTTTCACACTGCAAAGTTTCTAAACGGACCAAAACAGCTAAAACAAGTCACGTGTGAGTTAACTCTCCTCACATTGGTCAGAGTTTCACGGTTTATTTTGCAGATTCCCGCTCAGCTGTTGGGTGGTGTTTTTTTGGTGTTGTTTGACAGGGTGCATCTGAAGAGCGAGGAGGGATGCGGTGGGGAGGGGTGAGAAGGGTGCACAATGTATTTGAGCACCGGGAGGGAGACGTGCGATTACCGGGAGGTTATCACTCATTTGCGGGCATCCGGGAGTCTCTGTGCATTTGCGGGAGACTCCCGAAACTTCCGGGAGACTTGGGATGTCTGGAATGACCTCCCGCCCTACTCATAATTCTCTCTTCATGTAGCCGTATGCCTACTACATATCCATAAAACACTGTGATATAGCCAGGCTCGGATCGTATCGCTTTCTCACTACAATCGATCCGCTCCAGAGTTCGTTTCAATCGAGCCGAGACCACATCATTCAGGCGATCTCAGACCGATTGTTTTGGAGTATATCCAAGCACGATTGCTGTATTTCCATATGCCAAACGAGCTGCGCTAACTGGGCAAGGGAGACAGGTTTCAAAACAAAAGTCTAGGTGTGAAAGCACCCTTAGAAGTGGATCAATACCCACCTTTTCCATAGTGGACTTTTTTACTTGTTTGGTACACACCAGGGTTCAGATGTGTGTGCTAGTGTTCAGATATGTGTCATTTTCTTATTCAAAACAAAATGCATTAACAGAGCAATCACATTAGAGTTCATTTTAATCTAACTGAGCCTGCCAAGTATGAACACACTCTAATATATAATGTATTCGTCAAATTTCCTTTCTCTTAAAATAGCAAAGAACATTTTTTATAGTTCATATAGGTAAACAAATGCAAGCCTATGAAATAAAATGTGAACACTGTCAAGTTTAATTCCTCATGTAAACCGTAAATTCAGAGCACCTTTGTGGCTCTACTTTTGGATTTCAGAGGAAGTGCACAAAGACAATAACACCACCCCAAATACACAGCATAGCTAAAACGGTTTCTGTTTGATAAAGAAACGCATGGCCACCTAAAATCCTGACAGAATGAGTGCCAACAAAAAGAGCAAACAAGAGAAATGGATAGTTCATGCCATGTCCCTGGAAAAGGATGCTGGTGTGATAGTGGCTTGGCCACTGCTGGCCTTCATAGACTTGCTGCTGCTGAAGCTGGGTATGTGTACAGCTCGACCTCCTCGGCACATGGCAGTGGGAGACAGGAGGGAAGGAGAGGAAGGGGATGAGGAGGAGGAAGTAGAGGTCGGAGAGACTGAGGAGGAGGAAGAGTATGAGCTAGAGGATGATGAGGATGAGCAGGAATAAGAGCAAGACTGGCTAATTTGAGTGTGTGGAGGAAGGGTTAGGTTTTGACCTTCAGGCTGCTGAGATGGCTCAGGAGACTTTGAAGGGGTGACAGGTCTACAACTGGGCCAGCTCAAACTGAGACATGGGATTGAGGACTTAGTGGAGGAAGAGGTTTGGTTAGTAAGCCTAGACACATTTGAACGAGGGGCACGGGTTGAGCTATGTTTCCACGAGCTAGGTATAAAAGCTGGGATCTTAGAAGCAGGCAAAGCAGGGAAAGCATGTTTACTATTCCCACCAGCTTTCATAGCACTCCCGTTAGCCTGCGAACAAAGATGCCGGAAGACATGGAAAGTCAAGTAGGATGATAACACGTACGTGAAAATATAGAGCTCTAGCTATAATCCATAAAAATATTCTACAACACCAACAAAAATATTACTCTTGTAACAAAATGCATAATTGTTTTCTTTCCTTTTCTCTCACAGTAGGTTTCACACATTAAACATTGAAAATAGAAAGGATGAATAAGCAGGAATTTGGCCATCAGACTGAAGAGGCCAGAGTTTCTTCAAAATGTCTTCATAATCCAAAAAAAAATGTAAATATAAACAGTTACTCCCTAACCAGCACAGTGGCATTACACCCAACATACATAGTTTTTTAAAATATTTATTTCATGTTTTCTGGGTGACCGTTAGATGACAGCAGTCATCCAGTTTTCCTGTATAGCTGAATTGGTAGAGCAGGCAATTAACAATGCCAAGGTCATGGGTTTGATTCCTTGGAAACCCACAAATTGGTTTAAAAAGCATATTTTGAAAGTGTCTATGTGTAAACGAATAATAGGTGCAAGGAGTATGTTATAATGAAGTTTAGGGAGAGTGAACGCCATATTGGATCCATATGCATCCACAATAACATTACTCAAAAGGCATTTCCCATCTGTCTTCTTGCCTTTGCACTGGCTGCCCTACAGTAAAACTACCTGTCGGAACTGCCTCTGGGAGTCCTGGAGCTTTTGGGTCTTTCCAGATTTTTCCACACTCCCTGGCTGTTGGCGTGACTTTGGTGAGGAAATCCGACTCGAAGCTGGAGAGTCACCAGAGTTCTGCAAACATTGACAAGAAAACAATGTCAGAGATGGATTGAGGAGACTGACAAGACCATGACAGAGTGAGGGCCAAGCTTTTAAAGATTTCTCACTTGTAGACATGATTGGGGACAAGGAAAATAGGCAGCATGCTCAACTGTAACATCCACTTCCCAATCATGCATTTTATTAATCCCATAATAGATCAGAGCAAGTTGATCAGACAGATAAAATGTTTGTAGGTGCAACCTTATTGAAAGTCTGAACAGTGAAAGTAGACAGAGTAGTTTGAAAAAAGACATGGAGACCATAATCATGTCCACTGAAATCATATAGAGCCCTCAAAATAGAACATTCCCAAGTGCGTTCACCCGAAGACACCTACGAAACACAGTCACAGTTGATTAAAGTCAGTGGTTAGAAAGTCAGTCTTTTAAAGCAAACCCAAGCCACCAGCTGAAAGGTGAAGATAAGGTGAGAAAGACCTGTTTGCTGCTGGAGGAACTGGAGGAAGTGGTGGACGTGCTTGATGAGGTTCGAGACTGTGTTTTAGATCTTTTTTGCAGCGATGACTTGCTAGGTTTGGGCTTCAGAGGTGCAGGCCTCTTTGTGGGACTGGCTTCCTCTGGTCCTGCATGACTGGCAGTTCTCTTCGCTTTTGATTCTTCTTTGTGGGAGACTTCAGAAACCAGGGTAGGCCCAATGTCACTTATGGTGGTCTCTAGTTGCCTAATAGTCTGCTCAAGGCTGTCTAATGTTTGATAAGTAGACTTGCGGAGCTCCTCAGTTCTGTCCTTGGTGCTTTGTGATGCGGTGGTCTGGTTTTCTGATAAAGACCTTTGTGTTGTAGAATTAGTGTCTACGTGGGACTTGATCTCATATCTTTTAGCTTCTTTGAGCGGAGTCATGGTTCCATCTGGTTCCTCTTCATCCTCGTAGACAACTACCTGCAGTGTCTTTTTGCCAGTTTTTGTCCCTGTACGAAGGGCCTGGCCAATAGCTACAAGCTGCTTCTTTGGGAACTTAAACTTAAATTTCTTTTTTGCATCTTTAGACGATCCTGTCTTGTCCCCTTCTTCAACATCAAAAACAGGACTTTCGAAGGAGCTCTGCTGTCCTTGAAGCATTGCAATGTTGCCACTTCTCTGGTTGTTTACCCTGTTCTCAGTTCTGCACTGATCTACAACATTATTTCTAGGTGTTTTATGATCATCCTGAGTTTTTGAGTTGGTTTCCACTTCTTCTTCTTCCTCGTTCTCCTCATCGATCCTCTCCTCTGATAGCACTCTCTCTAGCTCTTCTTCACACTCAAATATGGTGGACAGGCGTTTGTAGGCCTGACAAATATCCATTGGCTCATCAAAAATTATGATAACTGGCTTCTTGTCAAATCCAGAATCTTCAGGGGCAGATAAATTTGGTTCAGATCCGACTTTTAAAGTCTGGACATCTGTACCTTTGCTGTTTACAAGCTGTTCATACTCTCCATTTGACAGAGCCTGTACTTTGGTTTTAGTAATCCTGAAGGCAATGTTATTTGGTGGAGGAGGACCTTCTTCTCCTGGGAGATCGGGACTTAGACTGGCATCTTCAGTGTATCTGATGTGATCTTTCGATGATCTTGATACTTCCTGGGTATTTTCACGGTCAATAAACTGTGTTGAATATGGGGCATCAGTGTTTAGATGGTGGACTTGTTCTTGAACCTGAGGAATCTTGTTGACAAGCGTAACTTGAACAGTGGTTGCCCGATGTTTATGCTTTGACTTATCAGGAGCAGCTGAGGCTTGTGAGACAGGCAAGTGTGTATGTAGTATCTGCTGCTCTAACTTTTCCTCAACAGGTAAAACTTTTTCAGGTGGTGGGGGAACTACCTGTTTTAGGTACTTCAGAACAGGTTCAGTCTTGAGCTCTTTTCCAGCATTACGGTTGTTGTTTAGAGATTTGCATGGGCCAGGTAACACCTGATGTATATAATTTGGCTTGCTTTGGACCTCCTGGACTGATTGACATGTCTGAAGTGAAACTTCGGATAAGTTATCTGATTTAAACAATTGTTGCTCTTGGTAAAGGTCAGAAGCATTCTCAATTGCAACCTTTGAAGGAGAAAATGTTGCTTCCTTGGGCTCCTTTAGGTCATCTGGCCTAGAGGTGCTCTCACTTGATGTCTTTGAAGTTCCGGTGATATAATACATGACCTGACAAAGAAATCAAGAATTCTTTGGACTTCAAACAACACATCGAAGACAAAATAAATGCAATGTGCAGACATGCTCCTTAATCACACATAAAACTAATGCAAGCAGTAAAACAAATTATATTTACCGCAGGAGAACCAGGTGGTGCACTATCTTCCTTACTTTCAGATAGTGCTCCTTCTCCAGATATGCGAGTGGTGTTCTGCTAGGACAGTTTGTTAGCACAAAGTCATTGCATTACAGTGTGACAAATCTTTATTTACATTCTCAAGTTAGTGAGTACAATGCATAAATAATAATCACAAAATTAAACAACAGCGCCATCTAGAGCTGTTAAGCTAAGAATATTAGGTTTGTGTCATGGATCGTTAGAAAACTACTACTGGAGTTCTAAGAACTGCTTTAGAACAGTGTATTTACTGTTAGCACAGATGGAAGTAGTAAAATGGAATATATAATATTATCAGTGATGCAGTATTAAATAGTGACAGAGGTTAATAATAAATATGCTGGATTTTATTTCCTTTTTTTTTTATATATTTGTAGAAAAATCAGCTTTCTAATCTTTGTAAAGACACTGAAAAGTTGTAAAGAGTATCCAGAAGACAGAAACATTCCTTAAAACATTATCATACTACTAAAAAGTAAACACAGACAAATAGAAATAATAATAATAAAACATTATAATAAAAAAGCTTCTAGAATTCTATATCTTTTTCTCATAAGTCTGCACCTTCCGGCTCTTTTTTTTCAAAGTGAACTCTGAAAGCTAAAAAAAGAAAAGGTCAGGTGTCAGAGTGTGCTGAATGGCCTTCGCAACGCCCCGGTCACTCCTGACCTGACCCGTCTTATACAGCTGTATCTATTAGCATTCAGCAGAAAGAGGGTGAGTGACAGACCAGTGTTAGACACACATTCAAACATATTACACCCTCTCTCGATGAGGGGTTACGGTCAGGCATTGATGCACATCGGTATGTCAGTATATCAGCATCAGTGTTGCGCATTAGTGTCAGCAGAGCTGGATGTTATGGGACATAACTGGCCACATTAGCACTGGCGTTAGACTGCGATGGGGAGTGAGCACATATTATGTATCCATTACCTTTGTGTGGTAAGATAGAGAAAGCCCTGGCTCCATCTCACTGCCTGAGGGCTCATGGGTTGTGAGATCAACAATGTATCTGGGCTGTAAATCTTTAATAGTGCATTTCTGAAACACCTGAGGAGGGGGAAGGGTATGGACATTAGGGGCTGTATGTATGGTGATGTTTTCTGTGTTGTGGTTGTGTCATTTTGAGATTTCAGACAAAACTAAACACCTTCATACATGGTGTTCCAAAAATATATATTATTGTGTTCAATTATGTACAGTACTTACTTACTTGTAAATGCAGTATTCAATATTTGAAGTGGATAACAAAAAAGTTTTTTAAATTGTCCTAAGACAAGAATAGATTTGTTTAATAGCTTTTGGACACCTTTAATTAAAGGTAATTGACTATATAGATGCATTAGTAGAAACAAAACAAAAAATAATAATAAAAGTTTATATAATTATTATTTTACGGCAATAAATTAAAGTGGTCCTTTTTGGTATACAATAACTATATTTACATAGACATCGGTAATCGATTTATTTGCCTTAATCTGAATAAGACAATAATAAGATTAAGGTGTTTACATGAGTTCATTCATTCATTTACTTTCTTTTCGGCCTAGTCTTTTTATTAATCTGGGACCACCACAGTAGAATGAACCACCAACTTATCCAGCATATGTTTTATGCTGCGGATGCCCTTCCAGCCCCAACCTATTACTGGGAAACTGCCATACACAATTATTCACACACACTCATACACTACGGTAAATTTCAGCATACCCAATTCACCTGTACCACGTCTTTGGACTTGTGGCACAAACAGGAGCACCCGGTTAACCCCACCCGAACACGGGGAAAACATGCAAAGTTCACACAGAAATGCCAACTGACCCAGCGACCTTTTTGCTGTGTGCGAACGTGCTACCTTCTGCGCCACTGCGTCACGTGTTTACTTGAGTTGCTTTTTAAATGTTCCTTTCATGATCCCGTTTTACATGTTATAGCACATAATACAAGTAACGTCACCACGCTATCCACATTTCTTTTGGAGTTTTATGTAATTTCGGCACTTTTTTAATTTTTTAATTGTCACTTTAACTGCAGTTTGGCACTTTCATTCAAGAGCATTTCATTCATGCCTCCCTGTGACAAACGAGATATTAGATGCAAGTATGAACTGCTGGATGAGTGTAGTTTTAATGGAATTTGATATTGCATGCTGATTTGAAACGTCAGCATTTCGTGATGCAGGTGTATGTGGTCCTTCAGACTCGGTAAGTGCAGAGAATAGTGTCAAACAGCTGTGTGTGTATAGACTATCCTGTCACAAAATGCGGTACAAATCCTACACGACTGTAAAAAGTTTAATTAGGGTGTTTACATGTCTGTACTGCACTTCAATTATGTGACTGAAATCGCCATACTCTACGTCTTAATTTGATTTCTGTTTAGTTTGATTATGACTTTAATCGGATTAGGGTCATTAAAATTCCAGTTTTCTTGCTAGACTCTTAATCAGAGTATTAAAATCGGATTATTGGTGTCCATGTGAACATATTCAATGGCATTTTATTTTTCATAGCTAACTGCATTTTATTTATTTGTAAGCATATATTTCATATATTTTTGTGTGATGTGTACTAATGCTTCCCAGAGACACTTTTTTTTGTTCATTTGGTACTGTGGCTGCATTTACACTGCAGATCCTGATGGTCAGTTTTGATTTTGTGACTGTATTCAAATTTTTTTTTCTGACATCATCTTTTAAAATTGACTCCGATTGTCTGTATTTACACATGGCAAAGGCGCAATGACCAGAGAAAAAAGAGTGGGTGCTGCTGACTGACAGATGATAATAAAAGAGCACTCTTTCCTTCATTTTTAATGTGTTTACAGGTGTTAATTAAGAAAAATATATATTTGTTTAACAAGTTGTTTTACCATCATTTATGATGGAAAAGTTCTCATTTTGCCATCTTCTTCTAATCTAGGCATTTTTAAACTAGTAGGCATCTTTATGTAATGTCCATGGAGTGATTTATGAATGTGACACATATGCCACAGTTTTATATTAGTTTATAATGGTTACATGGCAGATGTTCCACTCTCTCTCTCTCTCTCTCTCTCTCTCTCTCTCTCTCTCTCTCTCTCTCTCTTGTTAACTATGCTTAAATATTTGTGCTATATGACAACAGGCAGCACAGTGGTGCAGTGGATAGCACAATCGCCTCACAGCAAGAAGGTTGCTGGTTTAAGCCTTGGCTGGGTCAGATGGCATTTCTGTGTGGAGTTTGCATGTTCTCCCCGTGTTTCGGTTTTCTCCGGATGCTCCAGTATGTGAACGATGTGTGTGAATGATTGTGTGCATGGATGTTTCTCAGTGATGGGTTGCAGCTGGAAGGGCATTCGCTGCATAAAACATATACTGGATAAGGTGCCGGTTCATTCCGCTTTGGCGACCCCAGATTAATAAAGGGACTAAGAGAGAAAATGAATGAATGAATTAATGACCGTTTAAAAGCACTTTTAGTCCTTGTGTATGAGATTTAGGGTTTGGGACTCTGATACCCTCAATTAGGAACAGGTTTTAGCAGAGTTTACGTAATTCACTATGGTTTTTAATGATGCCCAACTCGCATTGACAGGTGAAAATCTGATCTACTTGCTTACACTGCAGACATGAGGGCACGAATCAGATTCATATAAATTTCCAGACCTGAATCTGATTTGAGTAAATCAAAATCCATGTGATTTATTTATTTTTTTTCCTGCTTACAATTACATGGGCCATATCCGATCTGTGCCACATGGGAGTAAAAAATCCTAAGTCGTTGAGTCACTTGAACCATGCAGTGTAAATGGAGCCTAAAGGTCTGATTCATGCTGACTATAGAATTGAAAGAAAATCATTGCCATTCTAAACAACAGAGGGCAGCATAAGCCAAATGTCTATAACAAACCACTGCAAACAAACCACAGTGCCCTCATTTTGATGCTTTTGTGTAAATGTTAACATTGGCGTTGCCATTCTGATGTTTGTATGCTCTTAGTATTTGTTTCTTAACACCTCTGACATGTTTCAAACTTCCTCTGTATTTGGTTTTCCACCATAAGTGTATTTGTGTGTGTGAGTGGCTTCTGTGGTGGTTTGCTCACCTGTAGCTCCGCCATGATCTTATCTCCTTCATCCTCCTCGTCTTGAAAGGTGGAGGTGTTGACAGGAGGAGGGGTGCGGGGCTTGGGCTTGACCTCTGGGGGCACACGCGAGGATTTAGGCTGCGGGGCCTCCTCTTCACCCTCCTATAGCCAAAACAACCAGCCAAGTGTGACCGACCCTCACCCTCCATTATATCACTCAAAACAACAAAAGCAGCTGGAATCTTTACCGTGACTTTCCATCACTATTCATAAAAACAGGACACAATATGCAGCAAACGGCACACCCAGGCAAAATATAGCATGTTGATATTTTAGCAGGTAGTGCTGTTTGTTTGATGTGTTGTTTTCGAATTGTAATAATGATGACAATTGTCAGTTGTCTGGGAATGTGGTTTAGCAAGGTTTGAGTCATCTGCATAATGTTGGTCCGATCTTAAAGGGATAGTTCACCCCCCAAAAATTACATTTACTCACCTTGAGTGGTTCCAAGTGGTTTCTGTTGAACGTAATCCTCTATATATATTTTGTAAAATGTAGATATTTTGTAGAATGCTGGTAACCAAAAAGTTGATAGTCTCTATTCACTTTTAGTAGAAAAACTTATAGTAGAAAAACATACTATGGAAATTAAAGGGATAGTTCACCCAAAAATGAAAAATTGTCACCTTTATGTGACTCCAAACCTTTCTAAATTTCTTCTGTCCAACACAAAAGAAGATACTTCGAAAAAAGCTGTAAAACTGTAACCTTTACTTTCATAGCAGAAAAAAAAACAAAACAAATACTATGGAAGTCAGTAGAATAGGTACAGGTTTCCAACATTTTTCAAAATATATTATTTTGTGTTTAACAGAAGAAACTCATAAAGAGGAGTAAAGGGCGAGTAAATGATGACAGATTTTTTTTTTTTTTTTTGGGTGATCTCTCTATGAAGAGCAGCAACAATTTGGTTATCAGTGTCCTTTAGTGTATCTTTTTTTGTGTTCATCAGATCAAGAAAACCCATATAGGCTTGGAATAATTATAAGGTGAACAGAAGATGACCATTGATGATGATCATTTAGAGGAAGCTGAAAAAGAGCATGCACCTGAGCACTAGTGGACTCTTTTCGGCTGGTGTAGATCACTTCTCCTGAGCGTCCAGTGGTCAGGCCTGTTGCAGAGGGGTAGAATCTGCGTGGTGGGGGAGGGGGAGGTGATTTGGTGGCTGTTTCAGGGTTGGGCTTTGCTCTGTCAACAGTGGCCCTGTGGGGCTTCTCTATGGCCGGCTTCTGTGGTTTTTCCAAACTGGTCTGGGCTGGTTTATCTGCTTTGGGTCCATGCTGTGGTGTGGCTTCTGTTTGAAGGAAGATAAAAAGTGCCTTGATTATGGCTATAAATCTGGCGTGGTTTAGATTCATCTAGCTACTCAGCCAGATACTCAGGGTTTATTAATAAATAACTTCTAAAACCAACAAGGAGATGTTGCAATATTTACAAGTATTTATCAGCTGATGAAAACAAAACGTGATTCAATAAACAAACAGACAATAACAAAACAAAAAAAAGAGAATAATGTTATCATCATAAAATTGATTTCAAACAAGATTTGGTTCCCCAAAACAAACAAACCAAAAACATTTTGTAGCACACATAAAAAAAAAAAAATAATAATAACAAAAAATTACAATATAACACTTTAAGGCTTAATTTTCTATTAAAATCATCAATGACAACAAAAAACTAAATCAACACATTAAACCAAGATAAATAAAAAGAGCACAACTTCATTGAACTGGCATATGTGGAGAGATTATACTTTTTAATTTTGGACAGGCTAATCTGTCCCAGATTAAAGTTTTGTGTTGAATGTCATACAATCTAAATGAGTGATTTATATGAGTGGACAGGCATACCAGGGGGTGAAGACACTTGAAGTGTAGAGTTCATCTCATCTGGCAATGGGCGATGTGTTCGGGAAGGGGCACTGTCCACCTGGGTGCTCACCTCCAGGTCAGGGATGGCCTTCAGAAGGCTGACTTGGGTCTGTTGGAGAATCCTGTCCATTTCATTTTCTGCTTCTGCTCCAGCAGAGCGAATCATCAGGTCCCCCTCTACAGCCCGTTTTGATACCTATAGAGATTCCAAAAGAAGTTTTATTACTTCAGTCAGAGAAAGTATATTTGTAGGAAGTTCATGCAGATCAATACAGCGTAACAGAAATAATTATAAATAATCAAGACATTCTTGTCATGCCGCCAATCCACGGATCTTAATCAATCAAAAGTGAAAGGTACAGTGGAGCCACACCTCTTCAGACATGGGCCTGCTTGTGTTGACATGGATCTCCTCCGCTTGGAGTGGAGGTGTGGAGGATCCAGAGGTTGTTAGCACAGCTTCCTGACCCTGGGGAATTGCTCGCTTTTGCAGGGCAGGACTGTTTTCTCTGCTCCTAGGACTGACCTTCGCCACAGTTGGAGAGTCTCTGCCATGGGTGGGTGTGAGGGGGGGACTGGGGTGGTGAGCATTGGAGGGAACTGTTTGAACACGGTGGACTGTGACTGGAGAAGAGGGCACAGGTTCTGTGTTGATGACTTTGGCAGGTGATCTCGGTTGTGGGGTAGGGGACTCACGAACAGGTTTTGGAGACCTGTGCTCTTCCACTGAATCAGCAGTCAATGCCTTCACTTGGAATTGGTCAGAAGTATGGTTGTGGCTCTCTGTGGCATATCTACAGGAAAACAAAATCTATATGATGAACGTGCTAAACCATTACAAAGCTCTAAAGGGATTTCAAAACACAAAGAGTTTCACCTTCTTAGTCTACTAAGAGTGTCAGTCAGAGCTTTGACTCTTTTCAGCATGTTGTCCATTTTGTGAGGCTCCTCCTTCAGGAAACGAACCGCCTCTACCTCCACCCTCAACACAGCACGCATTTTCAACTGCAGGGCTGGGAACTCTCCTGAAAAGATGCAGTTGAATATTATTATATGGGAATACTTGTGTCTCTCTCATTCGGCACCAATTCAAATGTTCGCAAGATTGGCATGTTTGGCTTGCTTGCTGTTGAGAAGAGCCAAAAACTTATGATCAAGGGATATGTACAGGAGTTCATTATAGAATGATGTTGACAAGGGCTAAATCATTATGGCAAGGCAACTGGTTTAGAGTATCTGAAATGGCGAGGGTTGACTTCAGTCCATAGGCCCAAAAAGTACAGATGTAATTACCTTTGAGTGTGGCCAGAGCCTCTCCTACTTTGCGCAAGTTGACGGCCCCTTCTTCCACATCCTTCAGAGTGACCGGTCGCTGACTCATAGCAGAGCTGGACTCTTTCTTCAGCATTTCCACATAGTTCTCCAGCTCTCTATAAAATTGTTACAACATGGGATTTGTCATGTCAACAATAATTGCTTTAATTGCAAGTGGAGACAGGAGCTTATCTTACAGTATCAAACAATATTACAAAAACAGTACAGGACATTTTAATCACAGAAAATTCCAATCCAGTAATGTCCAGTAACTGCTTAAGCTGCGCATACCCCACAAGCTTTTATAAAACCTAATCTTAATGTCATACTTTATTATTTGATCCAAAGAACTTGTTCTGCTCAAAATCTAGATATTCTCAGACATGTAGACGCTGCTGTTTATATTTATTTTGAATTCATTTAATCTAGCATTTAGCGAAACATAATACTGTGTGACGAGCAAGTCTTGACAGCAAGTCCTGCTAAAGCTTCAAACCTGTTTAACATGATTTAAGCTTGTTTGTTGACTGACAGTTCACATACACTGAAGTTTCGAAGTGTAAGCAAAGATGGCAACAGAAGTTTGCCCTCAGCTAAATACCTTCAGACGATCATCATAACCTACAGCTTCATCTGATTCTCTGACTTCCTCCCTCTTGAAATGGTTGAGAAGTGTGATTTAACATGAGCTGTACCGGCATATAAAGACTTTTGCAAGGTCACCCTTGCAGGAATCTGCAAGCCAGTACACAGCATACTCTGAGATCATAACGTAGCACAGTCTCTGTGGGAAATTGTTTGTGTTTTTTGTAATTTACCTGAGGGGAGTCTTAAGGGTTTTCCCATGCACAATGTCAAAAAGAAATATAAAGAAATCTTCTTCACTACAGCATGAGCCAGTATTACCGTTGTGCTTGGAACTAATAGATGTTGGTCATGGGTAAAAAAAAAAAAATGTTTTATGCAGTTATTATTATTATTATTATCATAATCATCATCATCATCATCATCATCATCATCATCATCAGAGTAATATTAGTACATTAACATATTTTAACATTAACATATTCAACTTTTCAGGTTTAGTTTTCATCTAATTTTTCAAATTTATTTTATCTAACATTCAGTCATTCATTTTCCTTCGGCTTACTCTAGGGGTATCAAACTGTTACTGGAGGGCCGCAGCCCTGCATAGTTTAGTTACAACCTTGCTTCAACACACTTGCCTGTAGGTTTCAAACAAGACTAAATGACTCAATTAGTTTGATCAGGTGTGCTTAATTGGGGTTGGAACTAGGGCTGTGCAATTTAGGGTAAATATATATATATATATGCTGGTTGTTGTATTTCCTCGTGCTGTGGCAACAATTCTGTGACAGCTCTTACAAATCACCTGTTTTTGTATTCCCATATTACCAACCCCCCGTTTTGTGCATTCCCTTGAAGAGGTAGGGGTGTCCCAATTCTCTTTAGCTTGAAGGCGTAGGGCTAAGGGGAAGGGGCAAATACCTTTTCGAATGAAGATTTTTCAGGACCACACTTGAAACCAAGGGGTAAGAAAATTTCCAAATTTATTTAAAATTACAAATTTTTTACAACAAACAAACACATTTTATTATATTCATAACTGCGTTCGTGTTTTACCGTCATGCTTTAAAAAAAACCCAGCTAAAATAAAAACCGCAAAATTTCGCTATCTGTAATCCATAATCATAACTCCTGTACAGCAGTCCCTTAACATTCTGACATTCAATGACACTCAAATACCCTGTCAGTAATATCTAGTGGCTGGGAATGGGCTTTTTACAGTGTCCGCTATAATGTTAATGTTGTTTTTGGTGTGTTTACCTTGATGAATACAGCCACTGTGTAAATGCACAGTATTGTTACGATCTTGTTGCCACTTTATATCGTTATGATAACAAAATATATGCCTTCAGTGATTTCTTGAAGTAAAAAACTTAACACAATCTGAATAACTACAGCAGTCGCGATCGTCTGATCTCATATAAAGCAAGAGATCGCGATAACATCTGATGACGTGTGCAGGTGCTGTAGTGCTTTTCCATATAATAGGGATAATTTTTAAAGCCCTTCCCCTCAACCCTCGGCTTTAAGGGCTAAGGTATAGGGGTACAAAAATAGAATTGGGATTGGGCCTTGCTCTGGGCGGAAGAAATTAAATAATACATATTTCGTATCGCTGCCTTTTTGCGATTAGCTAATCGTAACGTTTTAAATTGAGATTGTGATTTAATTATTCACACAGCCCTAGTTGGAACTAAACTGTGCAGAGCTGTGGCCCTCCAGGAGTTTGACACCTGTGGTAGTCTCTTATTTATCAGGGGTCACCACAGTGAAATAAATGCTTTACACAGTGGTTCCACTTCCAGCTGCAACCCAATCTTCTGAAACACCAATACACTCTTACATTTACACACACACACACACGCGCACACACAAACACACACACACACGCACACACTATGGCCAATTTGGTTGATCCAATTCACTTATGGAGGAAATCCGCGCAAACAAGGAGAACATGCAAACTCAATGCCAATTGGCTCAGCCAGGACTCAGCCAGCAACCTTCTTGTTTTGAGGCAACAGCGCTAACCACTGAGTGAAATGTTCCCATTTTAACTAACCAAATATTTTAATTATATCTTTACTTTTAGTTAACACTTAAAAAAATCTTTAGTTTGTAATGTGCTTTGCCTGTTTGATGTTGTTATTGTATAATATGTATACATCTAGTATTTATTATATGTTGAATGAGATTTTTTTTAAATATTTGTAGTTTTAATTTTATTTAGCATTTAAATCTTCTTTAACATTAACATTTGTCATTTATTTTTCCATTTTTCATTTAATATTTCTATGTGACTTTATCTCAGTTAAAACATACATTTTAAAAGCTGATTTATTACTTTTAGTTTTAGATAACAGCTGTACAACAACACTTTAACACCCATTCTTATGAAAACAATCCGACTTACATTTATTTCCCAGTAAGGAAAGCAGGCATTCATCATGACAGAAAACATGAAGACTCTTTCACAAGACTTATTCATTTGAGACAGGTTGGGACAGTGGATTAGTCAGTCATTTCATGCAGGCACACACACACACACACACACACACACACACACACACACACACACACACACATGCACACACACTCCTCCACCCAGGGATGGCATGAGTTGTCCTTTTACTTCAAGACTTACTGAATAGGCTTCAGAAAAACACTTGGCATAGCACTAATGTAAAATCCCCTCTGTTCACATCTATTAACAGTAGTGACCTTTGTTAATTAATGTGTGCATTCAACATTGACTACAGACACGGGATTATAATCAATTAGTGAGGGTGATTGGGGAGAGGTCAGTGTTGATTATACATGACCAGCATTAAATTTTGGCTGGTTTGCAAATCATTGCCCTGTTTTTTCCTATGTTCTGTTCATGTACAGCTCTCGCTCACATTCTGTAGAGGACCAATCCATAATGAAGCCTTCATGGGTAGTTCCTTAATAAAGATTTAACTACTTAAAACTTTAGTTAGTGTATAAAGCTGCTGTTAAGTAACATCTGCAAAGTTGCAAAACTTAAAGTTCTGTACGAAGGGATATATTTTTTTACAGATGACTTTTTTATGGTCTTGTAAGAACTCTTTCCCAGGCTTGTCAAGTTTACATAAACCCCTCCCCCTAATGTTTCCTTAAACATGCATCAGACAGTCAGCGAATCAAAACACTCTACGCCAAAACTGACCAATCAGAGAAATCGTGTATTTCTGAGGTAGTGAAGTCATAAAACCAGTATGTCAAGAGAGATTTTTGGTGCCATTTACACTTGCACGTAAAGTGTCATTTAAGTATGAAAATACCCCTCGTCCAGACTGGAATTTTTATTGTGTTTCCGAATAACTATCTGGATCCCCACTATACAGCTAAAAAGCATGATACGTGACCATTCATGCACACTAGACATGCAAATATTTTTTCAAATAGTTTACTTGCAGTCTGCCAGTTCTGTAATGATCTTATAAAAATAATGAAGAGTGATTGTGGATAGCCAGAAACTAAATTGTGGACTTAAGCAATTTTAAAGAGCTTTGTTTTTGCAGGTCGAAGATGCTGGAATAACGCCAGGTGTAATTCAGTTCAATTTAAGTTTATTTGCATAGCACTTTTCACTATACTTTTTGTTCAAATATTAGCGTTATAAAAGGAGCAGATCATTGCATTAAAATCAAAATAAATCAAGTTTAGGTTATTAGTTACCTAAACCTTATTAGTTACTAATAACTTTAATCAACTACTAGTAACTAATAGCTTTTAATAGTTAAAGTTATTATGTATAAACAGTTAACATGCTATTATATAGGTGATGTCTATCATATTAAGTAAATGTGTGTAACCACAACAAAACTTACAATTAAAATGCACTAGTATAAACAACACACTAGTGTCCACTACCTGACAAAAGTCTAGTCCCCTATCCAATTTTTAGGAACAACAAATAATAACTTAACTTCTAGTTGATCATTTGGTATTAGAAATGCCTTATATGAAAGGCAAAGGCCTCTAGATTATACTTATTTTACCAACATAAAATATAATCATAGCTTGATATTTAGACAAAAGTCTTGTCACTTGACAGAAATAATGTATAGAATAGAATATAACAGGGGTGCTCAATCCTGTTCCTGGAGATCTACCTTCCTGCAGATTTCAGTTGCTACCCATATCAAACACACCTGAACCAATTAATTAGGACCTGAATACCACTTGATAATTACAGGCAGGTGTGTTTGATATGGGTAGCAACTGAAATCTGCAGGAAGGTAGATCTCCAGGAACAGGATTGAACACCCCTGGAATATAAAGTCATGGTGCAGTGAAAAAATTAATTAATACTGTATATGACTGTATAATAATAATACTGTATATGCGGGTTCCAATAGGTCTTCTGCAGTATCTGTGATGATTGGGATGCAGTTCAACAGATGATTCATCTAAGAAAATCTACCTTCTGCCAGTTTTCCATATGATCAACTAGAAGTCAAGTTATTATTTGTTGCTCTTACAACTGGGACTTTTACAACAATACTTTTGTCAGGTAGTGTAAACACCATGGTGAGTAATAAGTAAATAATGAACCATTAAAGCTCACCTTATAAACACAATCAAGCTATTGAAAATGTTTGATTGAACACACTCTAAATGCCAGGCTCAGTAGTATCACAGCAGTTATCTTACCCGAGCTGCAGAAGGACTTTTTCCTCCATGCCGAGATAGTGATGTCTTTCTTCATCCACCTGGACTCTCTGTCTATGAACAGGGTCCTCGAGGTGCAGCACAGTGTCTGAAACCCTCTCCGAGATCTCCTGCTCTGCCTGTTGCATCATCAGCCTTATTGATTCTTGGTTTTGTAGCTGTTTATGCAAAGCAAAAATTGTAAGATTGTATGTCGTAACACTGCACAACAGTAGTTTTGTTCATTTGATTTGTTTGGAGGTGTATTGTACCATTCATTTTGTTTTCTGCAATGCTTACCCAGGTTGCATTTACTTGATCACAAATTTAGCTAAATAGATATATTTTAAATAGATATATACTAAATAGATATAGCTTAGATATAATGTATACAACTTTATTGCATACAATATATCTATATTGAATAATAAGATTTAAGTTACTCTTGTAGTTTAAAGCTGAATTTTCAGAATCATTACTCCAGTCTTTGATATCTCATGATTCTTCATTCTGATATGCTTAAACATTTATTATTTATTATTATCAGTTCTCCAAACAATTCTATTGACATCTTACAATATATTTTGATGTAATGAAGGGAAAAAAACATTTAGTAGTATAAAATACACTAACAGATATTAAATAGACAATGTTTTACCAATTGTGTTAAATGTCTTTAATGTAATTTATATCAATAAAATTTGCAAAATTGCTTAATAACATTAATAAAAAAGACTTTGTTTAAATATTTCAACCTTTTTTGATTATTTACAAGTGAACAATTTGAATGATCCTTCTTTTATAATATTACTGCATAATTATTGAGAAATATGTTTTTATTTGATTGATATCTAATTGATTCTAATTCTAATGAATCAGTCTGATGTCCAGGGTTAGTCAGATGTATACCTGCATCTGTTTGAGCTGGTGAAGCTGCAGTCTGAGATCAGAGACGTTTCTCCTGAAGGTGGAGAGGATTGAGCTTAAAGCTGGGTCTTTGACTGGGGTCTGAAACTGAGCTGAAGAACTGTCTGTCTGCACAGCTGGCTCCTTAGATGATGTTACAACACACATGCCTGGAGAAAAAAACTAAACTATAAAACTAAAAAAAATATATATATATTGTTCCAGTAAAAACACAAATATGACTCATGTCATAATCAATAACTGAAGTTTACTGACCACCGTTCTGTGCTGGGGGTCCCATGTTTACTGTTTTTTCACTGTAGAAAAAGACAAAAAAATGTTTCAGAATCAGCTTGTAGAAATGATAATTATGCTGTTTTTAAGGTGAGACACCTTGTTTATACCTGTTAATTTAGTTTAATTTATGTATTTTAGAGTAATGGAATGAAAATGTGTAAAATGTCTTTTAAGAGTTTCTTTTATAGTACTTTATCGATTTGTACCTATAGGTTTTAATACACACAATATATATTATTAAGGCTCTTTTCTCAATTAGTTTTTAGAAATCTTTATATCAGAAGCATTTTAAGAGTTCACACTTCGCTATTGCATGATACAATTTGTGGATTTGGCATGCTCTCCCTGGAATGAACCCTGAGCTCGGAGATACTTGAGCCCAGGGCTCCCGTCTGGTCATGTAGCATGACGGGGTTTGGACCAGCTAGGTCTTGAGAGCTCCCCCTGGTAAAGAAGGAAAGGGGGAGATGGCGTGGATGGGGGGGATTCTTCAAAACAAAGATAAGGAAGGTAGGATGAATGAGTTTTTTACTGGAGGCTAGAATTCATTTGATTGGTCTAGCAATGATGTCTGATTGGACTAGCAATGATTATTGATGCGAGACCAGCCGCGATCAATCATATCACATTAGTTTTATTCATAACAGTATTTTGAATATCTTTACAGAGGGATGTGTTCAAATTATACTGTAATTTGCCTGATCATAGACAACATTTTATTTAAAAAAATCTGTAAATTTATTATAGTTTCATTTTAGTTCTTCAAAGTATTTTCTAAAATATTGAGTGTAATAAAAGAAGATTTGCCAAATCTCCTCTGTGAAATATTTGACTCCAGTATAAACCAACAACACCAACACTTATGTACAGCCCAATGTTCTGTTTTATTTATTTATTTTTTTTTGTGCTAGAAATGTATGCAAACCTACTGCCCATCTAATTAATGTCTCATTTGCAATTCTTTTTCAACTGGGGAGTTATGGTCATAACTATTCAATAAATAGTTAATTTTTAATCTATTCATCTGCAGTGTCTTGCCTTAATCTACAAATTATAACAAGAGAAATTAATAAATGACAAGTCAAGGTAATTGTGTATAATATTCTTTGGAAATTTACCTGGAAACCTCTTTAGCACTTGTGTTTGGCCCTTTCATAAGAGCGTGTTGAACGAGTCCAGTAAGACTGGCAATCTGCTGCTCCATGGCCTTTATTCTTTCACTGCAAAACACAAGTCACATACACATACATATAAACTGTAAGTTAGTTTATAAAGGCAATGCCATAAATGATCATAGGACAATCAACAGTGGAGTGTTTAACAATGTTAACAAAGCTAAGCGAAGCACTGTCAGAAAAACTCTTTGTTTCTGATGGCAAAACTGTGGGGAAATTTGATATTCAAGTCAAAAATAGCATCATGCATATATATGAATGTTGGACATTGCCCAGAGGAACTCTTGTCCTCCTCTCAATTACACTTCATTTACCTCAACAACATCACTGCTCTGTTATTTTCAGTGATGATTATTCCCACAAGCCCTTGATTACTCGTGCATTATTTGAATAAATAACAACATCAGAGGAAAGGAAGCAGTGTCATTGTTTCCTTATTTTTAAGGCACATTATGTAAGTTTTGCTTTTTCAAAATAATAGCAATTGCAGATGTAGTTTGATAACACTGTGATGGACTATGGAATTCAATCCCAAAGTCTTTAGAAATCAATGTGAAATCAAAGTTTTTGGATTGTTAGAAGCAAGCTTGCGTGCAAAAACATTGAATACCCTGGCCTTCACATTGATAGGAGCTCCTTTATATAACAATTGGATAACAGTGTTGGTAAGATCCATTATATTCAATTCACACTTGCATTTATTTGATTAAAATATAATATTTCAAATTGGAAAAATATTTCACATTATTTTACTGTATTTTTTCATCAAGCTACTAAATATGTGGTGCTTAAGATACTTAAAAAACAATCAATCAATATGACACAGAAACAAAATCACAGCAAGAATTAAAACTCATTCAAACCTGCAACACCCCACCCCCAACATAACACCAATGCTCAACTTTCCTAAGCATGTGCACCACACAATGCAGATTCCCTCTCACCTCTGCGGATCTCCTGCTCCTACATGCCCTTGAAACGGCTTATCTCCATGACCGGCTGGAAGGTCCGCAAAAACAGGGGAGGCCATGTTCCCTCTCACCCTGCTGTTCACCTCCATGGCTCCATTACTGTCCTTACGGTAAGACCTCCGAACAGGTGAAACCCTTTCTGCTGGCATGTGGGTGTTCTGGCCTGGGATTATGTCAATCATCCTGACCTCATTGACCCTGTGAGGGGAAGCAGGCGGTGTTTTGGAGCTCATCGATGCGAGTTGACTTTCGCTGTACTTGCGGGATTTCTGACGAAAGACTGCGTGCTGGAGGTCTTGTCCTTCTGCGTATTTGACTGAGGAGCGATGCTGGATGTATGCCGCCCCATCCGGGACGTCTCCGGTGTGGCTGCTTTGGGATGAGGCAATGCTGAGTCTGGCTTCAGGTGAACCGTATGCTTCTGCATACTTGCTGCTAAGATCCTCGTCAGGTTTGACATCCCGTCGCTCAAGGATAGCACTGACACAGGGTGTGGTGGAGCGACTGGGAGGCACGCTGGACAGACGGTCTCTGGGTAAGGTGGCACCACCGGGCATGGCAACTGAGTGACCATAGGGAATCCTGGAGGGGGAGGAGGGCATGGAGCGAGGTGTAGGAGGAGACATGGAGCCTTGGACTGAATGTATGGGACTGTGAGGAAGAGTGTGCACTGGGCTTTGGCCTCCTGGCTGCTGTCTGCTGCTGTAGAGTCGCTCTCTTGTGATCTAGAATAGAAAGAAAATGTTTAAGGGTCCTATGAAGTTAAAATAAGTTTTTTAGATGTTAGTATGAGTATTTTTCGTTTTAAAAGATGTATTGAAGCTAGTGTGCTACAAAACAGTGACAAAATTTGCGTTTGGAAGATAAAAACTGATATAAACATGTAGAGCGTGTAGTTTGTCACCTCCGCCTAAATGCATCAATGGTTTTATTTAAATCACCTCATACTTCAGTTTCTCATCAAATCATAACCAATCAAATGCTCTAGTATCTGACATGCCCCGCCCCCTTCAAGCCGCTTCTCATTTACTTTTTATTTGAGGCACTTGAGTTCAGCCACCCAAGACTGGTTACTCAATGAAGCTAAGCAGGGCTGAACCTGGGAGACCACATGGAAAAAAAAACTAGGTTGCAGTTGGAAGAGGTGTTAGTGCGGCCAGCAGGGGGCTCTCAACCTGCAGTCTGTGTGAGTCCTAATACCCCAGTAAAGTGAAGCGGACACTATTCACTATATAACTCATCCCCATCCACTAAATTGGCTCTCACTTTCTCTCCACTCCACCTATAGCTGGTGTGGGGTGAGCACACTGGCGCTGTTGTTCTGTGGCTGTCGTCACATCAAGTGGATGCTGCACACTGGTGGTGGAGTGGAGAGACCCAGCCCTCCTTCTCTTGGTTGTGGAAGGCTTTGGGTGTATAGTCATACACAGTAAATGCACTATATAAATATGCATTATATCATATTTTTGGATGAGCTGTGATAAAACAAAACGCTATTGGCTGATTTTTTTCTTTCCCACCCTTTCTGTGTTTCAGTTGAGATAAGGTCAAACATTGAATTAAAATGCATATTTCAAAGAACTTCACCGGACCTTTAAGGAGCGGATTTGGGTGATGCATGTCCTTTGTTCCTGTCAGTCAGAAACATTTCCATGTTTCAAAAATCCATGCTTTTGGTCACCATTAATGTGCGACAGTGGGTGTTGCCAATATTTAACGAACATTTTACATCGCTACCAGCAAGAGCATCTTAATTTGCCTTGCTGCCAACAACAATATGAGTTCAAACCACCTAGAACCACAAAGATCCAACGTTTTCAGGACTGCATACTCTTGAGTCTTCTGAAGCAGTGGATTTTCTGATACATTCTGTTTAGCTGCTGCCGAACAGCATCATAGCTTATTATCAAAAAGTTGACCTGAATTCAACTATCCTCAACGCTCACACTGCCCTAGACGTATTACAGCACTAAGCTTGCTTCTGGCTCACACTAAAAATTAATGACGTCCGACTTTTGATCTTGTATAAAGACAAATTAAAAACATTAAAGAGACTGTTAAAAAAGTAGAGGTTTTCTGAAAAGTTGAGAGTTTGAAAATACAACATGTTTTTATTCTGACAGGGAACACTAAACTACATCATGTTCAGTGCAAATCATCTTTTTCCTTGTAGCAAGATGTAATGCATTTAGTCAGGTACATTTTATCTTACCGTTTTTTCGTTTGTGTTTTTAGTATGTCTTTACGATGGGTTTTGAATTTGGATAGATTTAACCAGATGACATACTGTATCTTACCCTTTATATATACAGTTGAAGTCAGAATTATTAGCCCGCCTGAATTATTTTTCCCCAATTTCAGTTTAACGGAGAGATTTTTTTCAGCGCATTTCTAAACATAATGTGTTAATAACTCATCTCTAATAACTTGATTTATTTTATCTTTGCCATGATGACAGTAAATAATATTTGACTAGATATTTTTCAAGAAACTTCTATACAGCTTAAAGTGACATTTAAAGGCTTAACTAGGTTAATTAGGTTAACTAGGCACTGGCAGGTTAGGGTAATTTGGCAAGTTATTGTATAATGATGGTTTGTTCTGTAGACTAATCGAAAAAAATAAAATTAGCTCAAAGGGGCTAATAATTTTGACCTTAAAATGGTGTTAAAAATTAAAAACTGCTTTTATTCTAGACAAAATAAAACAAATAAGATTTTCCCCAGAAGAAAAAATATTATCAGACATACTGTGAATAATTCCTTGCTCTGGTAGACATAATTTGGAAGATATTTAAAAACGAAAAAGAAAAAAAATCAAAGGGGGGCTAATAACTCTGACTTCAACTGTATATGTGCACAACCTTTTATTTAAGCAAGTAAATATGTTTTTCCCCTCTCCTATAAAAGGTTGATATGTCTGTTTATTATAGCATAACTGTGCATAATTATATGGGTAGCTAGATGTTATTATCTACATTGCATTTTTTTCCTCCAGCTGCATGTTACCTTCACATTCGGGACTAACACCCAACCATTGAAAACTGCTCATAAACAACTCCATGACAAAGAAAGTCAATGGATATGAAAGGACCTTTGAATTTAATGAAAGGGAACATTTTATTAAATATTTGTCACGAAAAAAGATTAATCTTTTTCCAAGCAGGAAACGAAAAACAAAAATTGCATTGTACGACTGTGTTGATATGATTTATGTTTAGACAAGTGAACAGATACGAACAAAAGACTGAACCAGTGCAAAAGCACTGACAATAGCCCTGCCCAGACCTGTCTTTGTACAGTGGTCATGCTAAAGCGTGCAGTAATAAAGCCCAGACAGCGTGTGCGTGCAGCAGAATTATCCACCATTCACAGCACCAACACCCTCTGCATTAGCCTAAAGACCAACAACATTCTCCAAACCTGTCCTTATAACCTCGGGTGTCGTTTCAGAGCACGTTCATATGAGGAATCAAGGAAATTATAATTGAACTTAATGTATTTGCTTGATAGTCTAGCTGAATGCTTGTGTCACGAAAACTGTATCAAATGAATGACAAGACAATAAAAGCAGCTTGAAATAAAATAGCTAGGAATTAATTCTGTCTGTCACTGCTTCTTAAAGATTTCCTTTAAGATGTTTGCTGTTAGAAATAGACAAAGTTCTCACGAAGGACTACCCAAAAAGGAGTCAGGCATGTTTAAACAGGTGCAGCCATCGCTTCATTATTGTATTATCTAAGCTCAAAATAGGTGTCTTATTTCAGTGGGTACATACAGAGCTCCACAAAATTGGCCTAATATTTCTCATGCAGCCAGAGAAACCAAATTGACTTCAAGCACACAATTAAACTTAAGGTCTCTGTGCCTTATTTTTTCACATGTCAGTACAGCAGATTCATAGAGCATCAGTGTTCATATTAATTATGTGGATGAAGGACAAGCTTCAACATTCACAAGATTTACAGCGTTGATAATCATCTACACTGAAAGGCCAATATATCATCAGCTCAAACATTACAGAAAATGGGTCCGTTTTTTTTCTTTAATATTTCAAAATAAGTGGATTACATCAAAAGCATGTCCTCACTTGTTTGAGTTCTCACGCTCTCAGAGGATTTGCTTTACACATCCAATTGTTTTTTTTTTAGTTCCTATCATCCCACTAATCTTATATTTGGTTAAGGTGAAAAAAAGGGCTTTCCATGTGGGCAGAGCACAGTGTTTTTGTATAACCGTGCCAGTGTCATAGGTCAAAGATCTTAGTGTCCCATAAAACACAAACTGATTGATAGAAAAACACAGCGAGTAAAGATAAATGTGACCAAACGTTACCTTAACAATTATGCTTTTGTCATATAGAGTGTGTCTATTGCACAAATATGCAATATTGTCATCTTATTCTGTGCAATGATTAGATGATCAGTGAGTATTTTGTATAGTCTCTGCATATCTTTATGTCAGATGTAGCTAACTTGCTGTTTATATGTAAGCTGCATTGTATGGACCAAACACTTAAGGTTTGCAGACATTGTTTACCTGAAACTGCTGTTGTGTCAATAAAAGAGATGAGTTGAGTTGAAGGTTGACTGTTGTGGTTAGCTTTATATTGTTAGTGGTGGGACCAGATCTGAAATTAATTTCAGTGTTCACATAATAAATGTAACTATATTAGAAATTTTCACGATGACTGAATATTGTAGAGCCGAGCATCACAAGAACATGACACATATTTTAAAGACTTAAAGATGAAACTTTTTAAAGATTTCATGAATTAAAATATTAAATGCATGTTTTCCAGGTTTTGCTATATATTTCTAAACAATAGTTTTAATTACTCTTTTCTAATAACTGATTTATTTTGCCATGATGACAACAAATAATATTTAACTATATATTTTTCAAGACACTTCTATACAGCTTAAAAGGACATTTAAAGGCTTAACTAGGTTAATTAGGTTAACTAGGCAAGTTACTGTATAACAATGGTTTGTTCTGTAGACAGTCAAAAAAATAGCTTAAAGAGGATAATAATTTTGACCTTAAAATGGTTCATAAAAAATTTAAAACTAGCTGAAATAAAACAATTAAGACTAATATAATAACTTTATATTAGTTTAAGTTGTTTACATGTTTCTAAAAGATTTAAACAAAAATGTAAAATTTTATAAATATTAAATACTACAATAAAATTAATCAACAGTTAAAATGTATTAGGTTTTCTTTTGACTTTATCTAGAACTTTCTGTAATACTTTAATGAGAGTTTGATCACGTTTGTAGAGTATTTGTGAAATATAAATTTAGGGCTAGGGATGTTAGAATAATTTCAGATATATTACAGTTAATTAAAGTCACATTTTTAAGTCTGTTGGGGGTCAACATTACCTTAAATACAATGTTGGTAATTAAAGTTAAAGTCATATTTTCTATGTCTGTTGGTGGCCAACATTCATCAAAGGGCGCATAGTTTACCCTTTTTTTATGATTTAATATTAATATGATAGTTTTTCTGAGTGTGCCAGTTTAGGTTCAATTCGAAACATAATTCAGATTTTTTTATTATAGTGTGTTAAAATGTGTCACGTTGGGGGTGTGTACACAGCTCGCTGTTTTAGGGGTGTGTTGCTTCACATGAAAATTAGTTTCAAATTCCCGCCCAACTTAACAAGGGGGCGGAGCCAAGAGCTCCCCCACTCTGTGTACGGCAACAGACAGGCAGACAGAGAGATACAAGCAGCATGAATGAGAGGATCAGCATTCAGCCGTGCATGTACGCCTCGGACACAGACCAAGCAGAGAGTACACAATCATTTGTGTCTTTGCATAGTTTTACAGCCAACTGTGTGGTAGTTTAAAGTTCCGAGCTTGTACACTCAGACGCACACTGAATTAACTTTGACTGAGGCACATGGATGACCCGCTTAGAGCCGCGACACGGCACACCAGACACGCACTTTCGCATGTTATTTAAAATTAAACTATTCAGATGGAGCTCTGTGGTGTGGCAGAAACATGAAGTGTCCCGAATCCTGGTTGGGCGCCGCGGACTTGAAGCGCCATTGTGTGTACCCTGATAGAAACCCATGTTTAGAATTCTAAAATGCATGGAGCGTCGCTGAGCGGTGCTTCTAGTGTGCGACCTGCAGGTAAGTTTGTTATTTTATTTCCAATGGAGCGGGACTCACGTGAGGCAAAGGCGCTCGCACTTTACAGCTGCTCCTAGTTAAGATCACACTCACATGGAGCTTCTGTGACCTCGAGAAAAGCAAACGGCTGAAGTTTAGGGTAGACGCAATGAAAAGTGCACTAGTTTGCAAACCTAGCTATAAACAAACTAAGTTACAAACAATACTTCCGATTAGAGCGATCATGTGGTGAATGCTGATCTTGTATTGAGCCCAATGAGCCTTGCATCTAAAAATAGAGCAAGGGTGTTCCTCTAGTGATATCGCTTTGACTCACACGCTGAAAATGGCTGACGTAAAACAACAAACTAAGGATTAGTTTACGCGTGCCTGTCAATTAATATTGGTGGGCGGGGGGACCGCACTCCTACGTCAAGTTGCAGTCGATCTAAAAACCGCTCCAATTAGTTCACCGTTTTTATGTTGTTAAATTGAAAAAAAGGACTGTGTGTGTTTATATCACCTCAATATGACGGTCTATACACTATACTTGCACACATGTCTGTCCAAACAGCTTGAAAAGTAGATTTTTCACCATACAGTAGGTACCCTTTAAAATACAATGTTGGCAAAATAGTTACCCAAAAACTACATTTATATTTTCTGATATCACATTGACATCTCTATCACCCTTTTCAAGAAAAACATTGAACTAAAAGTCTTGTAAATGTAACTCTGAGCCAACTAAATTATAGAGGGCTTACTAGTTGACTAGTTGTTCAGACAAGACAATTTTGCAAATATGCAGCTTTGCACATCCCATGTCTAGGCCAACTTTTCAAAGCAAACATGTTTTAATATTCAAAATGCAGTACATTTCATTGAGCTGAAGCAGGTATATTTTATTGATATGTATATATCATCTGGCCAATGTTTCCTATACAGACGTAGTTAAGAGACGCATAAGCCTGGCTAAACAGCAGCCTGTCTGCACTGTGGGTGGTGTGGTAGTGCAGACAGGAACGGCTCACAACCAAACTCTCATTAGAGCTGAGAAATACAAGGTCAGACGCATCCGCTGGGTACTCTCCTGAGAGCTCGACCTCAGCTCATCCACACACCCGACACAGGAATTCAGCCCTGGTTTTGAATGATGCTATTCCCAATCTTCCATGACCTTCTGAACTGGAGATATAGAGGAGATAGCAGGAGACTTCTCCAGAAGTGCGTTTAATTAGATAAAAGCATATGGCACCATCGCATAACAGCTCCAAAAAGTTTAACTCCCCATGTTATAGGGCCATGTGTAACTCTGTGTGTTTATTTTATTATTATTATATGACTTGTGCTTGTTATTTTGTGTGTTGTTGATGTACTGTACATCAAGTTGTGTTGACTTTGGGCTTTGTGTTGGTGGATAGAGGTTAATTTGTTTAAACTAGTAATGTTAGAAAGTTTCATTTGCTTATGTTTTTTTTTAAGATTTCTTTTTGGTGATTTATTTATTTTTTAATTATAGTAGTTAGACTGTCCCAGGAGAGAGCGAGAGAGGGATCAGGAAAGGTCTATGAGCCAGGATTCGATCTCGGCATACCCAGTTGCATTATGTGAAGAAATAGACTAATTTGTTAATATTTTACAATGCTTCAACAAAGAGGTGAATTATTTAATATCAATCTTTATTCAGTCAGGACTGCTATCTTAATCAGTGAAATTGATCATAAACGTATTGAGATAAATGTTTGTAGTTGTATATTAACTTGACAAAATATAAATGTGAAAATTGGGTAATGATGTGTTCATACTCGTAGTTTGGTTCCTTTAGACTCAACAATAAATTAATAAAATACTTTTAATTCTGGTTAAGATTATTATTAACACAGAACCCAAAAAAATGCTGCAATAAAAGTATAAAGGCCTTTATGCTTTCGCCCTAACTGAACAGTTACATTTGTCATCAAATCACTCTTTAAAGAGATTTGTTCAAAACTGCTGATTCATCCAGTAACAAAACATGTGACGTCAATAATATGTCACTTAGTCATTCATTTAAACCAAAGTTTTGGTTTTATTTGATATTGCTTTGTTAATAGGCCACAGCAATTAAAATTTTCTAAGAATCTATAGAAATGTGTAGATATAGAAATATGTATATATATATTGGTAATTGATTTAGAGATTTGTTTTCTTTTTCAATTAGTTAAAAAAAATTATTTTAACGCATTAAGAATGGTTAAGATACAAACTTAGTCTACTGTATATTTGTAGGTCAATATTGTAAACTGACAGACTGATGGAAAGCAGATGATTTAGTTAGATAACAAGATGCTTGAAGCATGGTTTCCCAAATCACATTCCACTTGCTGCATAAAGAGATAAGAAACAGACGTTGTTTGACTTTTGTATTTAAAAGGTTCACTGGTCTCCAGAGATCATCAATGGCATAGTTCTGCATTATCTACATTCCTGGTGACAAACAAATCACCTTAACACAGCGTGGCAAACACTATTGTACGTTTTTGTTCATTATAATGACAAGAGTGGAAAGGGCCAATCAGCACCTGCCAACATCAATGGGTGTGGCTAGAATATGTTTTTAAGCACAACTCTCAAACTCAATTCCTGGAGGGCCGCAGTTCTGTACAGATTTGGCTCTAAATCAACGTGTTTAAGATTACTATAAACTATTAAGCAGGTGTGAGTTGAAACTGGTTGGAGCTAAATTGAACAGACCTGTGGCCCTCGAGGAATTAAGTTTGAGACTTATGCTCTAAAGGGATAGTTCACTTCAATATTTGAAATTTACTTAATGGTTCCAAATGTTTATGAGATTATTTCTCTGATGAACATTTTGTTATTGAAGAATGCTGGAAACAACTATAGCATCAGCAGTAGGGAAAATACTGTGGGAATCAGTAGCTACCAGTTTCTGTCATTCTTCAAAATGCCTTATTTTGTTTTCAACAGATGAAAGAAACTCAGTTTTGTAACAAGTAGAAGGAGAGAAAATGTTTTTTTTTTTTTTTTTTTCAATGAAATATTCCTTTAAATTTTGAACTCTAAAGAGCAGAGCTCGAAATTTAACCATCACATCAAAATATTGCTGTCAACAGCATCTGGAAACAGTCATGAGCTTTTTAAACTGAACATGAAGATTTATAATAATGAGACTGTTTTGGTGGACTCTGTCACTCACCCTAATATCTCCATTATTGGCTCTTGCGTTGTGATTGAAGGCCTGGGCTGGATCTTTGTGATACACCTTCAGGCAAGATTGTGGTGTGATGTTCCTGTAAAGGAAATGTACATGTTACATTTAAATGCTATTTTACAATATTATTTTTAGGGTATTTCAACAGATTGGGATTAGTCATATTCCTTAAAGCTTTTGAAATTAGTGACTAAAATGATGCATTCATTTGATTAAAAAAAAAAAAAAAACAGATTGCATAATATCATTATAATTTGAAATATCTACATGCTTTTTTTTATTGTGTTTTATTAGTGTTTCATTAGTTTTACATTTTTTCAATATCTACCAAACATCACAACAACAATAAAAATACACAAAATAAGCATGATAATACAATGAAAATAATGGTAATAATTAAAATAAAATTACATGATCAAGGTGATCAAAAAATGGTTACCATATATTGTAAAACTTATCAAGATTATCAATAACTCCATAACGGACTCTTTCCATGTGTAATATTTGAGTGAGACAAGTTACCAAGTCTTAAATTGAGGAACAGGATCTGATTTCCACAGTTTTAGAATGACACTATAGCAATAATCATTCCATCAATTACAGCGCTTCCACATCCTTTTTTACATTAAAAAAAAAAAGTTGTACCTGTACAGATGGATTTTCAACATCATTACTGAGTGAGCGATCATTACATAAGTGAGACACTGAAGACAAAAACAGGTTATTTATGTGTCTGTCAATTTTGAGATTTTTGAGTTTTCTAGCGATTTTTAAAAAAAAAAAAAAAATTTTTTTTTTTTTATATTATTTATTTATTTATTTATTTATTTTGGTGGCTTTTTTGGCTCTTGTAAAAAAAACAAGTTTCCAAAATACACTTTTAAGCTTTTTTTGTCTCATATTATAGTTATTTATACACCACACTTCAGAGTTGTATTTATTTCTGTAATCTGAAGTTTTTTTACAGAATTATGCTCGTACATTATTGGCTTGTTTTTATAAATTGTTTTCTACAATTTGTTTTTCTTGTGGCTGTCTACAGTAATTTTGCAGAAAAAAAAGATACTTACAAACAATAGAATTATATTTTTGTATAGTTATTTTTTCGGGCTTTTAACTTTTAATGGATAGGACAGTAGAAAGTATTGACAGGAAAGCAGAGAGAGGGAAAGGATCAGCATAGGACCATGAGGCTGGAATCGAATTCAGGTCACCGTGAGCACTGAACCACTAAACTACATATACAGCCCTACACTACATATACATGGCACAGACAACGTTCGAATTTATTTATATACAACTTAATGGATTTATACATTCATTTATTCATTAATTTTTTTTCCGGCCTTGTCCCTTTATTAATCAGGAGTCGCCACAGCAGAATGAGCAGCCAACTTATCCAGCATATGTTTTATGCAGCGGGTGTCCATCCAGCCACAACCCAACACTGAGAAACAACTCCACTCATACACTATGGCCAATTTAGCTTATTCAATTCATCTATACCACATGTCTTTGGACTGTGGGGGAAACCAGAGCACCTTTAGGAAACCCATGCGAACAAGGGGAGAACATGCAAACTCCCAGCTAGGGGCTCAAACCAGCGACCTTCTTGCTGTATGGCGATTGTGCTACCCCTTAATGGATTACTGCTGAATGAAAGATTCATTATGAACAAAAAAAATAAGAAATTAACTTTTGAAAGGTGGTGTATGATGAGGTTTTGTTGGTGTTATGAACATTACCAAAGCGTTATGGTGCAAATAAAACTAATATTCAGGTGCATTGAAGCAGAAGAGAGCATAATAACTAGGAGCTGCAGCTCTTAGCGACAGAAAGGTTAGAAGCGTGTCAACACAAGCTCCCTACTCAGAACTATAAAGCTTGTTAGAAACCAAGCCCATCCTGCCCCTGAATAACACAAGCGCACACATAGAAAAACAGATTGATCACGCTCTCTTCTATTCCTTGTTAAGAAGCCGCGGGCCAGTGAAGAGTAGGGTGTGGAAAAGGGAGTCGCCTGACAGTTTGAACACACTTAAAATCAAGCACTGCCTGCAATTTTCTGCACTTAAGAAACAACCGCACTCCAAAAGGGAACATCTGTGATATTTTTGTGATGCCATAATTTACATAATCTTTTATTGTGTATTGCACGTAGAGATGTAACTATATGAACATTTCATATCACGATTATAGTCACCAAAATGATCATGGTTATCAGTATTACCATGGTTTTGTTAAAATTAACTGCAAATGTTCGAAAATATATGTCACACACACTTTTGTATCAATAAATAAAATGGCAGATTGATGCATCTTTGTGAAGCGCAACATCAGCATGGATTTGTTTATTTACGTTTCTATTGTTTCATGTTCATTGTTTAGTGCTTCTATTGACTTTATTCTTCATATAAGAACATTCTTGGCTCAACTTTCTGGTCTCGTTCACTTCCATTGATTTTTAGAAAATAAAAAATGCTTGTTGTCTTGCTTGATGTTGCTAACTGGAATTTAGTTTTTATATTATTTAAATTTTTCCGTATATTCAAAAACACAGTTGTTTGTAGAGCAGGTAATTTTTGGTTGTTTGTTATTCCTAGTCATTTCTCCCTTAGGCAACTGAATCAAAAATTCTAGAACAGTCGCTGGAACGAGTGCACTTCTGCATTGCAGAATAAGGTCAATAGGTACATTTGATTTTCTTATTCAATGTATTTTGTTTTACCTTCATTTGGAAAACTTCTCACAGGGATCCAGGTTTAGCTTATGATGGCACTTTTGAAGCACTTTAAGATGTTATAAAAAACAAATTTATTATTATTATTTTATTAAGCTGCTTTATAAACGTTGAAACGGGCTATGCAGTTTGATGAAAACATCTGGTCACACTTTATTTTGGATGATTCGTTTGTTGAATTTAAGTTATAAATAGACTGATAGGTTGGAGTTAGGGTTAGTGTAAGTTGACATGTACTTGAAAAGTTTCTTATACTCAGTTAAATGTCTGTTGAAGGATCATATCAACAGATATTAAGACTGTCTAATACTCAAATGGACCAACAAAATAAAGTGATCCTATTGAATCTGACTGATATTGCAATTTGATTTGTTTTCATTTATGTGATTAATAATTTATTTATTATATTTATTATTTATTATATAATTTCATCTTGTAAATTTAAACTTCAGCTCATTGTTCTCAATAGAGCTTGGAAACCTACATCCCAGTGAGTTGTGGTCAGCCATGTCTGTGGACAAATGCAGGAGCGCACAATGTAAACCAATAGAAATCACAACAGAAAAACTACCGTTTTATAGCAATGTCTTTTGAAAAACATCTCACACTGTATATAATGGACTAATGTGTATATATACCTTTGATAAATGAAAATAAAAATGTGCTCTGTAACGTTATGTGTAGTGCGAGCGCTTTTGATTTGACAGTTGATTGCTGATGAATCAGTAGAGATCAATGTAAATCAGGCTTCCTTGCTCTAAATACCCAGAATACTTTGCATGGCTATAACAAATTTCCATTCACTATAGTGTACAACATAACATTACAATATATATAAAAATGTATTTTTATGAACTGTTTATATATATATATATATATATATATATATATATATATATATATATATATATATATATATATATATATATATATATATATATATAAGCATGCGCTTAAATTGTAGCCTTTTCTGGGCAATTGCAGTGTTCCAGGTCTTACCATTACATTTTCAAAATGGCTATAATCATGGTTTTAATAAAAATGTTAAATTGCAATACTAACCGTCACAAAACGTATCATGGTTTAGCTTGAAACCAGTAATCCTGACAACACTAACTGAATGTTGTCCTTTTTAAAATCATAATTCAAGTCCGTTGCAAAATTAGAACACTGGCCATGGTAATATCGCAATAGGACTGTATTGTGCAGGAAACACACCTGACGTCGGTCAGCTCATAGTACATATTCCTCATGTCATCTTTGATGTATATAGCCACATTGGGAGAGTCCAGTATCTTCATGTTGAGGTGCTGAGGGAAGGCACTGACGAACAGAGCCCTGATGGTGTCCGAACTGGTCACTTCATTGGGCATTCGGATTTGTTTGGTCTCCTCTCCATACTGCAGGTAGAGAAAACCTGAGAATAAAGTAAATAAGAGATTGATAGCAGAATAATATGACAAAAGCAGCAAAAGATTTCTGAGGGACTTTGCTTGAATACCATCATCATATGCATTATTGTATCACCCCAAAACTGTTTCTTCAATATGGACCTTACTTTAACAAAGCAAAATCTGATGAAAACCACATAAGGTAGAGTCATGCTTTCTTTCTGTAAAGCTGCTATGCAAATCAGCTTGAATTGAACATTGGAAAAAATAACTAAGACTAAAAAGCTGTATAAATAAGACTTAAATGCATGCAGTAGCTGTATAGAATCCATTTAAGCCATTTTAACTTATAGAGTAATAAGGGTACTAGAAGTAAATGGTGACAACTTCTAAACCCTTCATTAAATGATTGCCTTTAGAAGCCCTAATGGGTTCTGGAAGAAATGTAGTGTGAGAATTTTCTTGCCATATGACAAAATGAACAATTTGCTCCCTGGTTGAAATATAAACCAGATATTTAAACATGAATGGATCTAAATGATGTGTCAAAATTAAAGCATAATACTCATTAATCAATTTACTAGGGATGCATTAATAGATTTTTTTGACCACGATACATTTAGCTCTGAAAAAAAATACATTTGTTTTACCTTTTAAATACTGATAATGTGTCTGTAAAAGTTTTCAGAAAATTGTAATAGGTCAATGTAAAATATTTCATGCAAATTATATATATATATATATATATATATATATATATATATATATATATATATATATATATATATATTTGGGAGGTAGTTGATAATATTTCTCCTTTATTATCAACAAGTGGATTTATTGCTGTCATATCAGCAGCACAGCACATACATAATTATCCATTTTGTGAGAGAATGTAAAAGCATTGAATTATATTTTTCTCCCGCTGGGCAGCGTGTAGGTAGATTTAGGTAGCCGGACTAAAAAAAAAAACAATAGCTCGGGCTAACAGATTTTGCAAACCCTGCTGTTTAAAAAGGTGCCCATTAGGGTTTGAAGTTATTTAAATGATCTGCACAAACTGCTTACAGCAATCATATCTGAGTTCCAATTGTGCCTAGTATGAAGTATGAAAAGATACAGCACAGTAGGGTGAAACCAATGGTACATATTTTATATAATTTACATACTACAGTGTGTTATAATATGTATGAAATGGATACTTTGTGTCTGGTGAAAAAAATAAGAACACTGCAAAAAGCCAGCAGGCAAAATGCCAAAGAATTCAAAAATGGCGTCAACATTTGGTCTGACCTGCCTAAAGGCAGCCACTTTGCCATGACGTGTTAATATTGCACAGTACTGTATTTATTTAACAAAGAGGCTATTTAAGTGGTTTCAACTAAGACTCTTTCTTAATATTTAAACATGCAAAATGTTTAATATCATGAAAAAAACAACAAAAGTGTCTTGTTTACATCCCTTTTGATGTGCGATTTAAGGATGCAGGATTTTTAGAAAGATTAGAACCCTAGATTGGAATAAACTGTAATGTAATCTTTCATTACATGTTTATTATTGATTACCTGTTTTATTACCCATTTCTTTTTTCCAGTTCTGGTATTACAGATCAGTTGACATACTCAGTATTGAAATGTTTTTAACCCAAATCACAGCAGTGTCCATCTTTTAATCATATAAGCTGTCAAACATACTTTAACTTTAGGACATAATATTAGAAATAAAGCATCAAAAAATAATATTAATAATTTAAGTGAAATTAAACTTTTAGCCAATCGTAGCAGTGAGCATTCACTTTCTAGTCTACAATTGACCATGCCAATTCAAACTGTTTCAATGAGGGGTCAAAACAGACAGAAAGACTGTTACTACTAGCCTATTACTTCTACATTGTTTTTGATACTTTTTTATAACATTATAAGTGAAAAACTGAGTTAAATGTACACATTTATAAAAAAGGCAGTTCATGGCCCCTTCAAATAAATCTTGATTTGTAACTTCATGAGTATATAAATACTTCAAAATATATATTTACAATTAAGTAAAAGGTGATGGAAAACACACGCCCAGTTAAAAAGTCAAAAACACTGAGTCAGTTTAATTACCTAATGACCTGTCCTTGGTCTGGTTAGTTGACTTGACCACAGGGAGGCTTGCTCGGGAGCGGCTACCTCGGGTGAAGGCGGACGGGGCTTCTCCCTCCGACATGGCCTCCAAACACTCAAGAGGGGCCAAGGAGAGATGCTCCCCCAGCTCCCCTACAGTAGACTGAGGGGTCACACTGTGCCCAGAACTCCTGATCTGCAAGACCACAACAAATGATCAAAAAGATGTTGGACTGATCGTTTAGAACTAGAGTGACATCAGATGCTTCATTGAAGAAAACATACTTATAATTAAACTCTAAAGATTTGGCCAGTGTTGTTGTAAAGGTGCCATGTTTTTTAGACACATATATATTATAATGCTTTTCTTATATAACTTAGAACTTATATAATTAAAAGTTAATAAATACAGTTTGGTGGACAAACCCTGGTTTTCATTCACAATAAATGAAAACATATTTATTCTGACCAACTTTTATTTTTATTTTAACCCTTCAAATTTACTGCCCGTTTGTTATGTTCAGGATGACAACATACACTAAATTACAACACTGTAAAAATGCATCAGGTAAATTTGTTTTTCCCAAGTTCACAAATGATGTCACTGATTAGGGGAAAAAAACAACACACACAAAAGGATGTATTTTCGGTCACACTTTACAATAAGGTTTATTAGTTTATGTCAATTAATGCATTTACTAATATGAACAAACAATGAACAATACATTTACCACTGTATTTGTTCATGCTAGTTAACGTTAGTTAATGAAAATACAGTAGTTCATTGTTAGTTCATGTTAACTCATGGTGCATTAACTAATGTTAACAAGGATGGACTTGGATGTTAATAATGCATTAGTAAAGGTTTAATTATGATTAATAAATGCTGTACATGTGTTGTTCATGATTACTTCATGTTAGTAAATGCATTAACGAATAAACCTTATTGTAAAGTGTTACCGTATTTTCAGTATAATAATTGTGGACTGGATTTTTTAACTTTTTTACCACAGTCTTGGACATGTGAATGATTATTAACATCATTGGCTTTGATGCATTGTTAGATTTTCATTTTTCTCTCTAATTTACTGTTGGTGGCTGTTTTTGCCCTATTGGCTTCCATTATAGTCATGTTTAATGGTGCATAAATACACAGTCTTTGTTTTATTTACTCCATGTAGTTCTGAGAGCTGAGATGCATATTTTGATTGTTTCAGACACATCAAGGTATGTGCACAAAAGTCACTCTCACACACTCACAGACACATACTTCAATTTGCTGTTATACTCCATATAAAGTCCAGAAACTATTTTTTATTTATGTATTTATTTTTATTTTTGTGCAGGCCTATTTAGGCCCAATCCCAATTCTACCCCTTAGCCCTTACCCCTACCCTTCGCAATAATCAAAAAAGAATTATTATGTGGTGTCTTGATTTGCAATAAAAAATGTTATAGTCAATGGGACAAAAACAGCCACCAACAGTAAATTAGGGAAAAAAAAACGAAAATCAATCAAAAACAATGAATCAAAGGTTTCACATGTCCAAGACTGTGATAAATGGTAAAAAAAAAATCCTGTCCACAATTACTTTTTATTCTGAAAATACGTCATTTTGGGTTTTTTCCCCCACTAAATCAGTGACATCATTTAAGAATTAGGCAATTAAAGGTTTAAAACCCTGTAACTTTCTAAACAGTTTAGTAGTTTTGATCAGAAATGAGGTTGATTATAGGATTTATGCAACAAAAATTTACGGTAGACAAAAAAACAAAACGTTTTCATCCCGAGCATTACAAAAGGGTGGTGAGTTTGCCCAGAGTGTATTATTGACTTCTTTAAAGCATTTCAAAGCGTTTTCTTAAAATATGTGTCAAAATAAGATTTGTCAATAAAAAATCATCCTGTTCGCTGAAACACAGAAAAAGTTGTGGCCAAATTAAGACTCAAAGTCACCCCAGAGTGGATGAAAACATCCCCAACAATACATGGAGGTTAATTGTCATTTTTATTCTATACAAATGTCAGGAAAAAAAACTATTTATAACATTTCAGACATTTTGTTATCAAACATTTTACTCTAAATAAATAGGGTTTGCGCTTGGTTATTGGTTTATCCAGTTTTAAAAATGCATATCATGTTATTTAAGCATCATCTAATAATTCAATTCAGTCCTAGTTTTGGATACCAATCACAATGTTATTAGCATATGACCCGCTAAACATTTGGAAAAGATTGATAAGTTTATTAACTGTGCTGGGCATTCTGAATGTCAAGATGTGGGCAGAGGTACAGTCATAAAAATGCAATGTTCAATAAAAGGCCATAGAAAGGTCAGAGCGGATGGTAGAGAAATAATCAACACCTCGAAGACCAAAAGGCAAAATGAGACCTTTCAATCCATCAATTAGCATTCAACCACACTTAATTCATGCGCCTAAAAAGATTAAGTGAAAACAATTATCTACTAATGACAAGGGTGACTACCAAATAAAAAAGAAGGCACGGTAGCAGCCTGACTACTTTTCCATCTTACAAAATGTGGACACACAGCCGTCAACACGTCTTTAAGTCAATTACAGCTCAGTCATGTAATTTAACTCATGTTAAAAAAAGAAAATGGAGTGATTTATCTCTACTGACAAAAAAGCAGTAAACGCACAGACTAATTAGCGCTTTGCCACAGACGTTATAGATTGTAGCCTATTTCTCAGTGCATCTACAAGAAGTGGTTGTCCTTGCAATAACACTACACAGCCAGCAGACGTAGGATGGTGGATACACAGAGTTCACTGAGGATGGGCTTTCCCTGAGGCTGGATGTCGTTGCAGTAAAGAGGAAGAAGCGACAGACAGAAGGCCACATATATTGAGTCACAGCGCGTCTCATCACAACGGCTGCATGCGCACTGACCTGCTCTGACATGCACGCCTGCCAGATTAGCACCCTGCATGACCCACAGGAACTTAATCCTTCTATACGGCACTGCTTCATTTTCCACTGTGGTTTTGGTGACAGCGCAATTATGAGGTCAGGCTAGAAGCACACAATTACACCTTTGAATCTACATTTGACGCAGGCATTTCCGAAAACGTCTCGAAACATTCCTGTAAACACCTTTTCAGAACTATATTGAAACTCCTTCACATATTTTACCACGTTTTTGTTCATCCCTGCAGATTAGTTTGAAGAAAGCGCCATTGAGATACTCACACTTTCCCTGTTACAGGTTTTGTGTTATGCAAATCTGGAGAAAAATACAGTCGTACCTTTGGGAGTGGTTTGTGTTAAAGATGCAAAACTCTCTCTATGACATGCTGCATGTCTGGAAGGTGATACTTAAAGCTGATAACTGGTTCAGCCTGAGGGTGGTTCACAATGTAAAGTGTTTTTTTCATAGAAAAATGTGAGTTTAGGCAGTGAATATTGAAAAACACCTTTTTTAAAGCTGACATGTGGCAAAAGACGTAAGCAAAAGTCAAATATGTCCATCTACACAGAAAGCAAGTAAAAAGGGGCAAAGTGGAATGCAAAAACATCTCTTTGGGTTTCAGAATGTTACTGTCATGTGTTACATCATGTGGCAGCGCGCACACTCTGCGTACACCCACGACGGCGCGCGCGCACACAGAGACAGAAACAGGACCAGACATTGAGTAGTGTCAGAGCTCTGCCACCAAAACAAGAATTTACAAGACCAAAGTGGCAGAACCCTGACACTAGCCCCCCCCAAAAGGGACGCCACCTGGCTGGGAGGGCAAGACCAGGGAGGATCAGGAGGGACAGTCCAGGGTGGATTCAGTGGGTCGGGGGCCCCGGCAGGGAGCCAGGGTGGAGCCGGAGGGTCCGTCCAGGGTGCAGGGAGGGAACACCAGGGAGGAGCAGGAGGGACGACCCAGGGAGAGTCTATCAGGGGAGACAAGGCAGGAGGTCGGTGGGGAGCCGGCTGGGCTGGAGGCCTGTGGGGAGCCGGCTGGGCTGGAGACCAGAGGGGAGCCGGCAGGGCGAGGCGCCGGGCTGGGACCGGCAGGACGAGACGTCTGGGTGGGGCCGGCAGGGCAGGGCGCCGAGCTGGGGCTAGCTGGGCGAGACGTCTGAGTGGCGCCGGCAGGGCGAGACGTCTGGGTGGCGCCGGCAGGGCGAGACGTCTGGGTGGCGCCGGCAGGGCGAGACGTCTGGGTGGCGCCGGCAGGGCAAGGAGCCGGGCTGGGGCCGGCTGGGCAAGACGTCTGGGTGGCGCCGGCAGGGCAAGGAGCCCGGGCTGGAGCCGGCTGGGCAAGACGTCTGGGAGGCGCCGGCTGGGCAAGGCGTCTGGAAGGCGCCGGCTGGGCTAGACGTCTGGTTGATGCCGGCAGGGCAAGGAGTCTGGGTGGGGCCGGCAGGGCAAGACGTCTGGTTGGGGCCGGCAGGGCAAGACGTCTGGTTGGGGCCGGCTGGGCAAGACGTCTGGGTGGCGCCGGCAGGGCAAGGAGCCGGGCTGGGGCCGGCAGGGCAAGGAGCCGGGCTGGGGCCGGCAGGGCAAGGAGCCGGGCTGGGGCCGGCAGGGCAAGGAGCCGGGCTGGGGCCGGCAGGGCAAGGAGCCGGGCTGGGGCCGGCAGGGCAAGGAGCCGGGCTGGGGCCGGCAGGGCAAGGAGCCGGGCTGGGGCCGGCACTGAGGGGCGCTCAGGGGCTGGAGCCGACACTGGAGGGCGCTCAGGGGCTGGAGCCGACACTGGAGGGCGCTCAGGGGCTGGAGCCGACACTGGAGGGCGCTCAGGGGCTGGAGCCGACACTGGAGGGCGCTCAGGGGCTGGAGCCGACACTGGAGGGCGCTCAGGGGCTGGAGCCGACACTGGAGGGCGCTCAGGGGCTGGAGCCGACACTGGAGGGCGCTCAGGGCCTGGAGCCGACACTGGAGGGCGCTCAGGGGCTGGAGCCGTTGTGGTGGAGGAGCCCTTTCTCCTCCGACGCTTCCTTGGTCTGGGTGGCGGGAAGCTGGCCACCTCTTCAGACACTGCAGTATACTCCACTGCCTGCAGGACTGGTGCAGTGTCTGTTGCGGGTGCCTCAGTAAGTGATGCTGCAGCCAGGATGGTAACTGAAAGGGCTGCAGCAGGTTCGGTCACCTCTGGGTGGGCGACAGGTAAGGCAGACCCGGTCTTCCTCCTCCTTCGCCGTTTCTGGGTCATTGGAGGACTGGGACCCCCACTGACTG